AAATAAAAAAAAAAAAAAAAAAACCAAAACCAATACCTCATAATCGTATCTAGTATAATAATGACGACCATAGGTGGCCCAGTGTTGGCGAACTATGTCTTCGACTGTCACAAGCTTTCCACTATCAAGGTTTGCCTTGTTTTTATAAGCAAGAATAGATAACCAAGCCAAAACTGCCCAAATTCCATCTTTCTCACGAATATGGTCAGATCCTGTACAAGAAATTAGTAAAAAGAAAAACAAAAATCAGTTTAATACAGAATCTATCAACTCTGGAACGACCAGAAATTCAAATAAATTAGAAAAATCAGAGGCTGACCAGTTCCAAAACTCTCTTCCCCACAGACGGAGCACATTCCTGCATCCATTAAATTACCGAAAAATTTCCAGCCAGTGGGCACCTGGAGCAGATATAGTGATAACAAAATTACTCGTTAGGACGCAAGATGCAAACAACCTATAAAGTTTAGGATAAAAGATGAAAGTCTTGAAATGACCTCAAAAAACTTCAAGTTCAAGTTTTTGGCAACCACATCTAGTGCAGCAGAGGTTGGCATGCTCCTAGAAATATTACGGACAAAACATCAAATAACTTAAATGACTTTTCTAAAAGATTCTTAAATGTTCAAATGATGCTAAAGAATAAAGGAAGTTCCCTAATAAACATGCGTAAAATTAGATAGTCCATTAGATGTACGACATCTATAAAATTTGTTGCATTCTTCGACAGTATATTTAAAACAGATTATTTATTCACATAGCATTTATTCCATTACCATATGATTTAAACCTACCCAACGAATATATGTTATGCAGTGACCAAAAAAACACTACAAAGCCTATTTATCAAAAAATATTTTCATATAAGATTAGATCCAAATGGTTTAGTTTTTTATTCACTAGTTCATTTAACAACAAACTTTAGACTTGAATTACTTCGAACTTTAACGAACTTGCAAATTGAACTGTGGATTGAATACGACTCTGAAGTAATGCAGTTTTATACAGCCTTGATGAGTCCAAGTGGGATATCTTAGCAATGCAAGTAATTTCATTAAGAAAAAAAAAAACAAGTCTAAAGAAACTACTTTTAATTTTCAAAATTTGGATGAGATTTTGAATGCTAATTAAAAAAATAGCAAACTAAAGGAATAGATGGGTGGAAGTAGTGTTTATAAGCTTGTCAAGAAACTAAAACCAAATTGTTACCAAACAAAGTTTTAAAGTTTGCTGGGCAGGAAAAATTCAACAGAAATACAACATAAAGAAGGTGCCTCCAGAACGAAAGGGCAGGGAAAGGAAAGCAGAGTTGTAGATCAGGAGACTTAGCAGAGTGTAACAAAAGTCAAGTAACAGAAAGTAGCACCTGGCGACACCCTTTAAACCACCAGAGAAGTACGGAATAGCTTCAACAGCATTAGCAGCAATAATGGCAACAGAGTCTGAAGGAGTGACGAAAAACCTGTAAAAGTACAATAAATAACATAAAGAATAATTGAAGAGGAAATGTTATTATATATCAGTACAATTGATTAGGCAATACTATGATACCTTTTACCAAGGACCATATTGCGATCTGCATCACCATCAGCAGCAGCACCAAATTCTGGAGGTTCTTGTCCAGAGCTTGATTTACCCAATCCCATACGAGCAACCAATTCCTTGGCATAAGTCAGATTGGGATCAGGATGACCTCCTCCAAAGTCCTCCTGTTATATCGGTCAAGAATAATATAGAAAATTAAAAAACGGGATTTACGTAATTTTCATACAAGGAAAGCCAAAATATATTCTGAAGAGAAGACAACCTTAGGTACACAGTTCAGTAATGAGCTTTCTTGTGCACTGAGCTCTTCCACAAAAATACGTTTTGCATAAGCTCCAGCAACACCGTGTAGAGCATCATAACTTCAAAAGGCACATGTTTATCTTAGTATTTATGACCATAACACTAGAGATTACACATAAAGAGGCAAGTGTTCCTCTGAAAAGGGTTCCTCGATGAGGACATACGTACCAGAATGAGAATTTGGGAGAGGATAGAAGCTTGCGGATAGATTCAAAATCAAATATTGACCTGTTAAATTGAGAGAAAAAACATTCAGAGAACTGAAACAAAATGAACACAAAAGATTATCACAGAGATAATGACCCTCGAGGATAAAAGCTTATAAATGCAATTACCAAACATCCAAACAAGAAATAGCACAGAAATATCAATACCATGAGACACTTAAACTTACATTCCAGACAGGAAGAGGTTGTTGACATCATCACTCCATATACAAGTTTTCAAGGGGACAAATATATAAAAGACAAACTAATTGTGAAAAAAACAAAGAAGACCATATTTCGCAGAAGAAAAAAGAAGCACGCCCCATCACAGGTTAACAAGCAAAACAATGATAATAATCGACTAATTAGCGCTGGTTCAATATTAATTTTAGACTGACGGTATCTGACAATGAGTAATTACAAAACAACCATCCAGAAATAAAGGAAGGTACCACAAAGGAAAGAAATGAAGGGGGAAATAGCAATAAAAATGGTATGACATGTCATAAAGACAACAATATTGATCAACAAAGCTTACTTCATTAACTTCACATAGTCACTGGCAGAATCAAAAACTTCAACGTCAAATTGTCCTTCAGGTCCGCCAAAGCTAGAAACACCTATTGCGGAAATATCCACCTAAGACAGACAACATAACTTAATAAACAAGAATTGAGTTGCGAGTAATTAGAAATTGTAATATGAGAGAGTGGAAAAGTACGTTAGGTAGATCTTCAGAAATTAAGTACTCCTTTATTGATTGTGTGTTTTCATAGATCTTATCAGTAATTCCTTCTGGAGCAGGGCCACCATTTTCCATGTTGTATTTAATCCCAAAATCCTGCAAATATTTTTTTCCCAAAAATAAATAAAGCTCATCAAATAATAAGGTAACTTTGATGAAAGCAACAATTCTATGTCATCTAGATGCTCCAATGGGTCTTTTAGTGCACCCTAACTATTCACGCATTTTTTAGAGTGACCACATCCATTGAAGAAGGAAGCACAGAAAACGTAGGAATGCAATTCTTTAGTTCTAAAATCCTTCTGGGCAGTTGATTATTACAATTCCTATCTAATATACGAGAAAGAAGGCCATTCATTTACAGGCAGGCATTAGTCTCGTTTTTTCCTTCCTTTTTCCCCTTCATGAAACAAGTGTACTAAGAAATGGACGATATTGCAACATATCAATTGACTTAATTTAGGAACGTCATTCAGAACAGAGAGGAAAATGTAGCAAATAGAGGACAACTACCTCATTGGGGCCTCCTGGATTGTGACTTGCAGTCAAAATAAATGCTCCTGATGATCGGGATCCCTGGTATGAAAAGTTATTTTGATGGCTATCCTTATTAAAGACTCGAAATATTATCATCATGAAGCTGGAATTTTTGCTTATGTATAAAAGTAATTTCACTTACATCAACCCCAACTCTTTCACGTATGACAGCAGACACAGCAGGAGTTGAAAGCAAACCATTTTGACCAACCCAAATACGCCGTACCCCATTTGCTGCAGCCATCTTGATTATAATCTGTCAATAAAATATGGAAATATAAAATACGGGTTACACATCAATTAAGTAGGACATATGACATGTTGAGAAAACTAAAAATAGTTCAGACCAGGATTCCTAAAATAAGATTTCCATTAGCCAGATGTAAACAAATATTGGTTTCACACTGGAAGCTGAGAGTTGATTAGCAACTATCATGCTATTAGGTGTGAAGAAAGTAAATGATGAAGAACAAATTGTTCGCACCCCTATCATTACTAAGTTTGTAAAAATGGGATTTCCTTAAAAAGAATAAGAATGTCATTCGCATTTTCATGTTGAAGCCAAAAACTTTACTTCTTTTTTTGGGCATAATGATATCAATCATCACTCCAAAAGGTCGCCAAGAAACCAGCCTACCACAAAATCCAACCCTTATCGCGAAAGGACTGATGCAAGAGCCAAGAGAATCCCCTCCATCATATTACTGCAGTCCGTAGTCCTCAAAAGCTATGGGAGAACTCCTTGGACAGGTAAGGAGTCCAAAAACAGCACTCCCTATGAAAAAGGAAAACACAAACCCACCAAGCAAAAAAGGCTCCACACCTATTATTCCCTATCAGACAAGAAACACGAAATCCCATGGAAAGGGAGGAAGAACATGAAGGACGAATAATGGATACAATCAAATTTAGTTTTTTAGAGGACAAATGATAGAAGTGAGGTAATCTAGAACAAAGAAGAGTATCGCCCAACAAGGTGTCTTCCCATCCATTCCCCACAAGACATTTAACAAACTGAGAAAAGAAGGAATCCCATAAAAGACCACTTTGCACAGTCTCCTAAAAGTGTTGTTCGAAACCTTGAACTAATGAAGGACCATTTAAAAGGGTTCCATACTTCCTTACAATAACTAATGCCACAAGTAATCCCACAAGTAATCGATCTCCAAGGAGAAATGCCAAAATAGGTTCGCTCAGACGCCTAAAGTTGCCAGACTCTGAAACCTCTTAGATCTTAGGGTCTAGAAACCACTTAATAACTCACCAAATGAGACCCTCACCCCTCTCCTTATCTAACATGATGTAATTAACTTGACAACTTGTGTTGAATAAAGTTGCAATCAACATAGAGACACGTTCGATAAATTGTAAATCTTTTTAGAAGAAAAATCGATGGAATTGTAAGTATTGTCATAAGATGGGTATGAATCACCCATGTTTTCTAGTCATGGTCAAATTCACCAATTTTCTATAAACTTCTCTTTCCTGGCTATCGCACCAACTTGAGATTAATACTTTATTTCATGTATTTGTCAACTAATACATTCAATAATTTTTTTTTTTTTTTTTTTTTTTTTTTTTTTTTTTTTTTTTTTTTTTTTTTTTTTTTTTTTTTTTTTTTTTNGTAGTAAAGACTGATTTTTTTTTTGTCTAGCGAATCTTACATTAGAGAGTCAACACCATGGACCTCATTCGAAGGCCTCTTGAATGTATTAGGTATCGGAGGATCGGAGGATCTAGGTCACATCTTTTACAATGAGGCATCGGAGGATCTAGGTCACATTCTTCGGAGATGCAAGTTCGCTAGGTTGGGACTCCTTTTTAGAAACACAGTGTGAATATGGTTTGCAATAGAGACTGTCATCTTATGTTGGAGGATGTCTTATTCCACCTGCGCTTTCATGATAAGGGTCGTATTCTTTGGCAAGCTTTTTTTTTTTTTTTTTTTTTTTCCTTTGCTATTCTGTAGAACATTTGGCTAGAGAGAAATGAGAGAAAATTTTTGAGGGATTAGAAAAATAGGATGAGGTGTGGGCTCTAGCCAAATTTATTGCCATCTTTAGGTATCTGTATCTAAAGATTTTTGTATCTATCTTTCGCCCTTTTCTTTAATCACGGTAGGTCGGTCGTTAGTTGTGGTGGGCCCTTCTTTGTTGGGCATTGATTTGAAAGCCAAAATGGAGCTTCAAAATCCTTGATGGGCATTGTTTTTGCACTCCATTTGTATTCTTTCCTTTATTCTCAAGGAAAGTTCCATTTCTAAAATAACAATAATAAATCAATCGATCAATAAGACAAACACAGTAAATACAATATTAAGAGTTAGTTCACTTGTCATTGATTTGACTTGAATTTGCCATCGAATCAATTCCTAAACACGACCCCTGTAATCACTATGGAAATAAACTTATAATGGTACCTGAATAGCATCCTTTGAATAATAGCGTCCATCTCCAGAAACAACAAGTGTAGCCCCTTTATCCACAAATAAAAGTTTACAGTTAAAGAAAAATCCAAAAGAGTAATGTTCTATCAGAAATCAAAAGTTAGCTACTTAAGAATAGAGGTTAAGCCTAAAAAGTAAAGACCAACAAATAAATCGTAACGAGAAATTGAATTCCATGTCTGGACAGAAGAACAAATGTTGAGTTGAGACCCTAGCATAATGAATTAGTCAAGAGGGAGGAGTCAAAGGCTCCATGCAAAAAGCAAATATGAGTAGCGAGAACATAGAACCCTGCAACGACTGGTAGTATACAATATTGACACCTAATGCCTTTGTCAGGCCAGGCACAAAGCCACCATCAATTCTAAACAGCTGAAGATTAGGAGTTTGTAATGATGAACTGATAGAACCCATAAGAAACAAATTATGAACTGATAGAGATTGATCAAACGCATAATGAAAATTAATCATCTCTGCGTAACTACTAGGAAGTTCATATGTGAAGTGAAAGATCCACAACCTCGGACTTTTTCAGCAGTCAATGCATTAAATGTTGCCTGAACAAAATTCTCCAAGTAGTTTGGTTGAATGAATACTTTAACCTGGAAAAGGTCCAGCCACAAAATATCATTCCAGAGTAGAAAAGAAATGAAGGGAATTTGCAATGCACTAAAATCTAAACAACAGTGAGAAACCAAAATAATTTTCCACAATAATCTAATTTGGGTACCATAACAATCCTCAGACAGATAGTTAAGGCACCAGATCTAGCGCACTGTTCCAATATGATCGAACTCAGAACACGCGACAATGGTTAATAAAAGTACAGAATCAGCAGATAATGGATTCAAAGGAATAGGCAAATGAAAACAATTTAAAATAAGACAGGTCAATCCCATTGATTCGAGAAGAGAACAAAACAACACGTGACGTATCCATTAAAAATTTCCAGCGACATAGCTAAGAAAATCAAGAAGATCCAACGCTCATGCATCACTCAGAAAACAAACGATATTCAACTTCAAGGCGCCAGATTAATAAACACATAGACGGATCCAAAGAAGTCTCAAAAGTGAGTAAATTATTCAAAAACAGTACAATAAGTTATCCAAATCTACAAATTCGGAAAACAAATAGTCCGACATTGCCAATCAATAAGGAACTCAGAATCCGTTTACAAGTCGTCAACACGAGATCTAGCCGAAAGAAAACCACAATAGATCAGGACGAAGAAGCCAGATCCACATAGATCAGAACAATGCAATAAAAAAAATAAAAAATAAAAAAACGAAAACGAAGTGAACGGAAACGAATTAGAGGCAGATCCCGACGACGATCGAGGAATGATACAGGGAAATGCAAAGAAAAAGAAGGCAAAATCTAAGAACGAACCTTCTTGCGGAGGCCAGAAGTACCGGGCTTCTGGCCATCGATAGGGGCGGTCGGCTTCCTGGTGACACTGAAGCGAACCATGACTGGAAGAGTTGCAGCGGCGGAGAAGAAAGGGAAGGAGATTGACGAAACAGAGAGCAGGCGAAAGAGAGAGATGAGGAAAGGGGAAATGGGAGATTGAAGATTAATAAGGAGAGGAGAAGAAGAACGAACCAAGGGGCGACGAGTACGGGGTTGCTTGATTCTGCGGCATTGTATTACAGTGGCGGAAACCGATAGAGAAATGTCGTGTTATGACGCCACGTGGAATAGAATATATATTATCTTTATGTTACAGATGAGAATTTTCTTTTTCTTTTTCTTTTTCTTTTTCTTTTTGGCGCCCTCTCCTTTTATGCGACTCAGATTCTATTTTGTATGGGAGTGTTCCAGTGGCTTCAATAATATTAACTATTATTTAATTTTGTAACACGTTCTACCTTGATAATTTTGTGTAGTTAATAACTAAACTAAAAATTAATTAACGGTTCATTACGCATAAAATTCAATTTTAAATTAAAGATATCAATTTTGTGGTTAATCAATTATACATAAAATAAAAACGACCCTTCAAATTATAATAAAGAATTTATTAAACACATTTTAAAATTTAATAATTTATATATATATAAAAATAAATAAACTTGCTTCTTACCCAAAAAAACAATTGTTCCAAAATAAAATCAATATTAATATCTTCACATAATTATTGATTTCATCTAAGAAAAATGTTTGTATTAAATCCATTATTCGTTTCACGTTAAAAATATCTAAATATGGTAATGAATTTGTCTGTTCTTTTTTTATAGGGAAAATATCAGTTTTTGTAGTTTTTTAGTTTAATTCAAAACATCTCATATCAATAAAGATATATGTGGAAATTTATCGTACTCTCAATATTTTTAATGCAAAAAAGTATTGCAATTTATTCCTCGCGATAAGTTTTTTAAAAAAATATTCCCACATACGATCAATGTATATAAAACATATATTTGATCGACCATTCATAATATTTAGACGAATAAAATATTAGAATTAGTTTTTAATTGAAATTTATATGTCTTTGATAAACTTATTTAATTGTGGATTTTGTAAATTAATCAAATTTAATTTTAAGCAAAACTTAATTATTGTTAAATAGTGATTTTTTTACATTACTTGTGAATTTTTTATTTTTCTATGTGAAAATTCAAATATATGATTTTGAAGAGAAGGTATGGATGGTCTTTGGGGACAAATTTAATTAAGTATATTTTTCTCCCACTGCAAAAGAATAATTATAAATAAGTAGATTTCTGATGTTTTTCCCCTTTAAAAACATATATTTAATACATAAAAGTATAAAAAATTGTAAATTAATAAATGAAATTAGGATCTGACATAAGAGTGACGATGGAACCTTTCCCTCGTAGAAAGTAATAAAAAAAAACTTCTTTATTCGCTGTAACAACCTTAAATTTTCTAGTAACAAGCAATCACATGTCTTTCTATGTAGAAATAAACATTTAAAACTTTATTATAAAATATTGACACGGACTTATGTAAAATGTCTTTAAAATGACCTAACAAATTCCTAAATAAAATAAATAACATTAAAGATAAAAACACCATATTCTAACCTAAGTCTAAAAAGAAATAAATACAACTATCTTATACAAGTGTCATAGTCTCAACTTGCGATGTAACGACTCTAAATTTTTACATACTCAGAATCGCTACTAACGTCCCATGCTCATCTCTTATGCGAAAAAATAACTCTTAAAAAAAAACTTCATCTATATTATAAATGTTGAAAACATTTAAATACTTTCTCTTCAAAACACAGTCATGGTGTTACTTGTTTAAATACGAATACGGAAATTTAGAGAAAATAAAAACAAATACAAAATAATTTAAAACGATGAAATGCAAAACAACATATTCTAACTTAAGACTAGGAATTTAAATATGAGTCTACCTTATGCACATGCCACCGTCTTTGTTCGTGATGTCGTCGTTCTCTATACATGTGTGCCTTGCCTTTACCTGAAAAATGATGTGGCACACAGCCGGAGTATTTCAAAGAACACTCAGTAAGTGGCCCCACACTAGGGGTCATGCAAATGCAAACATATGCAATCATGCTCTTGGGACCTATCTCTAGCTCATCTAGGGGCGGCCTCTAGTCTCGAACAAATTGGATCTTTAATATTTCCCTACACACGACCCACTTGTGCGAGTGTGAATTCCCAAGGCGCTCGCACACCCCCTAAACCCTCTGGTCAAGCTAATCTATATTGACGTCTGAAGGTCAGCGGAACCCCATAGTGTCATGTTCCCCATGAACACCCTGCTCGTCATACTATGCGCGTCTGCACTGATCATTTTTAGGGGAAGTATCCATATGCTTATGAACATACAATATGCATGAGGTCCCTGTAAGTCCATCTTATCATCTCTTCGGACATAACTCTCTAGTCTCATTTCTTTGTTACATTAAGTAACACATGCTCGTTGAATATTTATATTTATATCATTTTCATGTTTTTAGGGTTGTGTCCTATTTCAATTGGAACCCCGCGACGAGTCCAAGTTTGACGGAAGTTGAATCCTGTTTTATTCTTTCTCTTTTCTAACTTATTCTAAGTCTAAAAACTCTAAAAAAAAAAGAAGGGGAAGGGGATTAGTCACAGATATTTGATTGTTTTTCTAATATTTTTCACCGCTTCCCAAGTCAATAACTAGAATGAAAAAAATGGGAATACCACGCATCCGGGAATAAACGATTGATCTCGATTAATAGACCCGCTAAAGCCCCGAACCATATAGTATCGGTCTATCGACATAATGCAATATGACACTCACCATCATATAACATGCTTAATAGGGAAAATATCAAACATATTTTAAGGGGTTAGATAATTGGGGTATGGGTTGAGGATAGAAAATGGTGGGCATGGATGAGGGGTTAGTGGAGAAAAGTGGGGAAGGATTTTTTTTTTTTAATGTAATTTCTTTTTGCCATATTTATTTATTTGGTCTATTACATGTATGTCTTGTCAACTGTGCAAGAATGTTTTGCCTTTACCTGAAATAGAAGTAGCATGTGGCTTGATTATTTTAAAGAAATACTCTGTAAACATGAATGAGACCTATCCTTTTAGTCTATATTTCTTTAGGCGGCTATCCTAAATGGGTAATTGGATGTGTATTTACTGTTCTACATACGACTCACACATGTGAGTATGAGCCCACCAGTTGGCCCTTTCTCTCGGGCAAGCCTTC